AAGGAAAAAATGCATATATGAAAATACCTTAGAAATGACCCTTTAATAAGCAATAAAAGTGGTTTATTACTGAATTTTGCTTCATAAATGTGTAAGATAAAATTCTAGTGTATAGTGTATGTACATGTACATATGTCTATACCTATGCTGGGCTGCCGATCAGTGGCCAGACCTGCCTGGCCATGTTAGAGCGTGAGTCTGAGTCTCACTGTCTCTCCTTGCCTGTTCATCAATATCTCTGTGTCTGTATCTGCTTGTCTGTGCTTATCTGCTTGTCTATTCATCCTTATCTCTCTGTGGTACGTTTCTGGCTGGCTGTCAGTGTGCCTGTCCCTGTATAATGGTCTGACCATCTTTGTCCTGTTGTCAGTTCCTATTTGTCAATCTGTCTCCACATGTGTTTGACAGCCTGTCTCTGTTTGTATATTGATTAGGCTCTACGTATTGGTCTGTAGGTATGTGTCTGTCTATCCACAATTCTGTCTATGTGTACATACGTGCAGATTAAGGTTTTTCCTTTAGTGTAGAAATGATTTCACAAAATGAAAACAAGACTTGAAATTAATGTCAAATACAACTGTTCTTACAGTCAAAGGAGAATGTATAACTTAAACATTTCAAAGAATTCTTTTTATGGGCGCAACCCAGTTCTCAGCATTATTCTCAAGATCCAACCCATCTCTCCCCCATTGACAGCCTAGAAATAATGATGTTCTTTTGCAATGCTAGTCTTCATTCATTCGTGTAAATTTTTCCAATTCTCATAAAGATTCTTCTTTTCCTAGATTATTCCCAATTTTGACCCCACAAGGATAATCCAAAATAGAAAAAAAAAAAAATCTCAGGTAGAACATACTCTAAATCTTAATTATATTGTAAAGAGTAACACTAAGTAAAAGGTGGTGGGAGAGAGCTGGAAGATAACCCAGGGTGGGATTTAATGCACTAATTACCGCATATTTCATGGTCCATTTGCTAGTAAGATGAGAAGATGCTTTTCATTATTCTGTCTGTGAACTAGAGGTCTGCTTTTCAAATCTGTGAGTAATCCTTGGAAAAATCACAAACACACATGACACTCACAGACATGCACAAAAAAACCTTCACACACATTCACATGCCTACTCACACACTTCTTAAAGACAAATAAAACCATTTTTAGAGTGAGTAAACTTAAATTCATATTAAAGAAAAATAATTCCAGAACAATGGAATACCCATAGTTATCTACCTGTCCCAATGAAAATAGCCAAAAAAACTATACTTTGGTTTTGCTCTACAATGTCCAGATGTCTACTAGAGCATAAAATAACAGGGCTCATTACAATAATTTCCTAAACAACAATAGTGTTTTGTTAAGGTTCTACATATACACAAGCATATACTTTAATTGCTAAAACTTATAGTAAAATGCTGGAACTATTAAGACTGGTTATTTACATTGATTGATTTTGGCAGTTGATTGATAACCTTCCACTTTATGATGATTTGATTTCTTATATTAGATATGGACATCTGACAGTATTACAAGGATTTTATTGTGCAAATGAGCTGACAGAAGAATAATTTGTGAAGTAGGTCAACTGTACTTACACACATGAGAGTGCTGGCCTATTTTTCTTTTCAAAAGATGTTCTACCAAATTCAAATTTGGCTAGAAAATATGATTCAGTTCTACAAAAATACTGAAGGCACATCAGACGTATTGATGAAATTAAAAAGGACAACCCAGGAATTCATACAACACACAGCATATGTTTCTTAGAATTAAAGTAGAGTTTGCCACCTGGCAAACTTCTCGCTCAAAAGGTCCATTTACATACACATTCAAATCTACTACCTGTTGATACCTTTAAAATGACTAGAAATAATACAGTATTTATACCCAGTTGTCAGTTTGGTTATTTATTATTTCCCCACATAACGTGAATTATTAAAGTAAGCATTAACTTATTTACGCACAAAATTAAATATGAAATTCCTGTGAGTTTCAAAGTAATACCATTTTTTTCTTTAGTTTTTCTGTGATAAACCTAACTTCTTCATCCATACTCATTCACTATATGATATTTTAAAGAGAAAAAAAGTCCTAGAAAGATAAATCACATCCTCTATACCAAAAGACAAACAGAAATTACATCATTAACTAGAAAACTGTCATACCTACTACATTCACATAAAAATGTGGGATTAAAGTAAGCACTCTATCATTTCCCCTCTCTTTCACCTGAATTGCTACTTGATATGTAATTTTCAACATTTTCACAGCTGTTCTTACAGTAAACATGAAACTCTGCCATGATTTGAGAGCCACTATAGTATAGTGGTTAAATCCCAGATTCTGGGCCAAAGATTCTGTATCCAAACCTTGGCTAATCACCTAAGCTACTTATGCTGAATAGCCATGGGCAGTTGCTTCCTCTCTCTACGCCTCAATCTCCATATCAGTGATATGATTATAATAGCAACTACCTTGCAAGGTTTTTAATAGGATTAATATGAGAAAAGGCATGTTAAGTGTTCAGAATAGTCTGTAGCCCGCTGAATGTACTCAATAAATGCAAACTGCTAGCATTATTATATATTTTTTCAGATGCTATTATCACATCAGGACTTTAAAGGGACAATTAAGGGTGAAGGCAAAATACTCTAATAGATATCCATGCCAAATTGAGGTATTTGGAAGGATTTTGGCTAAAGAAAAGGGTCAAGTTATATTTTTGGGCTAAAAATCAGTGGCACCATCCCCAAAGTAGACTATCTTGTGCAAGAACATGGAAGTTTAGGACTAACTTTTGGTCAAACTTTGAATGGCTTTTGAAGATTTTTCATGTTCTAGAACAAGTGTTGGCAAACTATGCGAGTGGCCAAATATGGCCCCCAAGAACGTTTGTTTTCTTGGTATTTTTTGTTCCGTTTTTACCTTTTTAAACAGTGAATAAGGAGAAGGGGAGAAAGAAGAGAAGGAAGAATATATGTGGTCACAAAGTGATCACAAAGAATATATGTGGTCACAAACTTACGTGGTCACAAAGTCTAAAATGTTTACTGTATTAGTTTGCTAGGGCTGCCATAACAAAGTACCACAAACTGGGTGGCTTAAAAAACAGAAGTTTTTTTCTGACAATTCTGGAGGCTGGAAGTCAAGATCAAGTTGACAGGAGCATCGGTTTCTTCTGGGACCTCTCTCCTTGGCTTTTAGATGGCCTTCTTCTTCTGGTGTCTTTACATGGTCTTCCCTCTGTACATGTCTGTATTCAAATTTCCTCTTCTTATAAGGTCACCAGTCATACTGAATTAGGACTCACCCTAATGAGCTCATTCCAACTTAATTATCTCTAAAAACTCTATCTCCAAATATAGTTACATTCTGAGGTACTAGGACTTACGACTTCAGTATAAATTCTAGGGGGAGACCATTCAGTCCATAACTTTTACTAGTTTGCCTTTCACAGAAAAAGATAACCAGACTCTGTTCTAGAAGCCTGAGGAAGTTATATCTGACAAGTGAGCCAGTATTTTCTTTGTGTCTCTTTTACTATTTGTTTGTCGATGTACACAAATTGAGAAATAAGGAGACAATCACTAAGCTTAGAGATATCTGCTTTCCCATTGAGAATTTGCTGAGGGAAAAACGCCTCAAGGGATTAGTGGCTGAACTGTTTAACTCCCAGGTTAGGTCAAAAGGGCAAGGCTTAACAGATGAAAACATTTACCTGAAGGCAGCCGAAGGCAGAAGAAACTAGGTGAACACAAATCTGGAACCCCCAAAGGAGGTCTGATAATCCAAGTGAATAACGGGAAACCCAACATCAGGGATGGGCCTGAAGATGGCAGCGTCACAATAGAAACAATATCCAATACCATTTTCGAATACTTATATGAAAAAGCCCCTGTGTAGTATTTGACTACATTTTGTCATCCATTTCACACCACCACATGGATATTATTATTACCCTCCCTCACTTTTACAGATTAGAAAACTGAGTTGGAATTAGAACATAGGTTCCAATCTCCTAAAGTACTGGGTCAAAATATCCAAAGTTGGGAATCAAAAAGCAATAGAAAAAGAACTTCAAGGATCTTTTGGAAAATGAAGTCAGGTGCCTAAACCTTCTTATTGGTGATTAGGTAGATTCACAGGCTTAAAGATAGGATTGGCACTGACAACAGAGACTGACTCCAAAATAAATAAAGAAAGAAATAAATAGAATGGCTTTGCGGCAGGTACTTGCTTTTGCGTCCACATTTGGATCCAGTTAGAATGCACTAGGTACTTTCCTGTAACGCACTTTCGAAATAATTGCTTGGTGGTTCCCTTTTATAGAGGGCTTTTGTACATCTATTTCCAAATTCCAATCTAAAGATATTTAAGACAGCCTTATGTTGTGCTTAATTTACCTTCCCATATAACTCAGAATATTAAAGAAGGTTTTCTGTATATGCTTAACTCAACATGAAATGTACCTGAGAAATTCAGACTCAGAATTTTTCAGCAGTCTTGTGACCTCGAGAAAGCAGCTTCTAGCTTGCATTTGCATACTCTTTTTATAAAGATTCAAACTCACAGTTAAGGTCAACATCTGGTGGATTTAACATTCACCTTTGACAGTTTCACTCTCATTAAAAAGTGTTTAGCATTTTTTCAAAGCAGAAGCTGTCTTTTATTTTAATAAAAGTTTTCATATATTTTCTTTGTTCTTGAGGGGTGGATTTGTATGGTTGAACTACTCTGTTCAGTTGGAATTTGAGGCCCTCTCCCTAGACAAGCCACTGTAGCAAAATAAAATGCAAATGAAAGGGGCAAAGGGCACAGTATAATGAGCAAGAGGATTTACTGTCTTGTCTTCCATTTCCATATCTTTTGGGAGAAGGGAAAAGTTGAAAAATGAGATATAGTTCTACCTGTTTTTCCTGGTAAGTTATGGTTGAAAATTTAGCTATTTGATAGACATGGAGCGTATGCCCACTAATTTCTCAAGCTAATATTAATTTCCAACTTTATCTATGCAAGGGTAATGCTTTAGTACTTCTGTGGAGTACTTTAGTGCCAAGCAATAACTACACGCTCAATACATTATTTTTATACTAAAACTGCTAAACAAATGGATCTATGATAATACGCATGTACACACACACGCATTGTTGAAGAAAGATAAGAGTCAAGGTGGTTTCAATTGGAACATTCTGTATGTGAAACTATGATAAAATGCATTCTAAAATAGGTACTGTTTATCCAGCATATGTTGTACACAAACTATGTGTTTGTTACTTAATGTGCATGATCTCTACTACCCACAAGAACCTAAAAAGTAGGTACTATTATCACCATTATGCATCTGATGGGATAGAGGTATGTAGGCGATCAATTAACTTACACAAATTTGCTTACCAGATTTAAACCTAGTTTGTCTTACTCCCAATCCAATGTTCTGTCTGCAATGACACTTTGACATATGGAGCAGAGTTAAGGGAGAATTTGAAAACAACTGGATAATCAGTCGGGGATTTTCAGTACAGTTGAATGCAAATCATTGACTGAATATAGGCCATTTCATGCTTTACATACACATAAGTAGCCATTAAAAAGTCAGCCTTAATTGCTTTCCTCTGTGGGCACCAATTAGAAGTCCTGAAATATCAATAAACTGGCTGATTTAGGAGGAAATACTATGATGTGTTTTCTTCCTACATATAGTTTTGAAGCACCAAACATATCATAAGCACTCAATAAATATTAAATATTTAACAACTAATAAAATGCAATTATAGCAACATATTTTGCAATGAACTCACCATAAGATGAAGTAAACAAGTTTTAGTATGAGACCTGAAATCTGAGCAGATTTAGATAGTTGGGTAAGTGAATAAACCCTATGGGGAGGCAAGAGACACTAACATGATTGTAGTCGAAAAGGCTAATAGGAGGCCAGAGTGATAAAAATTTTTATTGCAATTTGATAACTGAAACTGTCCCTCCTGATTTACATGTTTATTCAATTCATCTAACATCCAAAATGTGAATGAAAAGATATATTGCTAAGCTGCTATCATATCTTCCCCATGCCCAAACATGAAGTGACTATATTTCATTATCTATTGGTATTATCTTATTTTGAAAGAATATAAAATATGTTGCCTGAAGTCATTTTTTTTTTCCTACTTGTGCCCTCTTTTGTACATAGTCTGAGATTTTTGGAAGAGCCAGTGTGATAATAATAATAAAAAAAATGGATGTTAAATCACTTTATCCTTTGGCATTCATAAGTCATTCATAACTGTAAAACTGTGAGACACACAGGAGTGTGTGCAGTTTCAGAGAGCACACTTCTGTAGATTTAAATAAGAGCTGTACGTTACTGGAGGAGAAACCAGGCTGGGAGCAAAATCAATTTTTTTTCTTACATGAGTGAAGGGAATATGTTTCATAAAGGAGAGAAAAAGCTTGCCAAATGGAGGGATCCATAGGGAAACTTTAATTTAAGCCCCTGTTCCTCAATTGTTGTAAGATTCACGAAAAAAGAAGCACTTAAAAGTCCTCTTTGAGGACTCTATTCTCCTTCCTCTTTCCCATTTTTTGCCTTTTACTATCCCTCTTAGGATAAGAGAGAATACACTTAAAGCTACTATTTGGGCGACTCAATCCTCTCTCTCCTTTATCCTTCCAGTAGTCTCTCAAAAGCTCCAAAGAAATTAGAACACATTTAACAAGTGCTCTCGTGAAGCTCAGCCACCATTTCCTCTCCCGAGCCTGTTATTAACCCACTAATGGGTCCGCACACTCTGTTCCAGTCCAAATACAGCAGCAGGTACACCATGCTGCAGCTCAATATACTTGCTACTCTAACAGTCATTTTTCACGAGGAAAAATATCAACGCCATGGTAGGTTGCACTGTCTATTCACACAACAATAAAACACCAAAAAGCATCAAAAGTCCTAATATCATATTCTAAAATATTTCTTCATTTTCGTAAACTCACTGTGATTTCTGGGTGCTTGCTTTCTATCCTACACCCCCACTCACTCTGTGACCCCGAACACCCCCTACACATACACACCTTTAACTTTTAGGAAGCAGGCACAGAAGTCACCCCTTCCTGTCCTAATATATCATAGATATAAACAGATAAATTTCAGTTTAAGGTAAGGTTTTCTCCATGTCCATTGGTTCAGTTAGTATTCAGAAATTTGTAAGCTTTTAACACTTTATTTTGTTAAACACTTTTGTGTACTTCTGTAGATGCTTTAAGGTTTTCGCTACACGGAAGAAAGTTGAATAATAAATTTTTATAGTATGTATATTTAACTAAAACTGTAGCAATTAATTTTAGCAAGATTCTTTCAAACTCAAAAATAAATATCTGTAAAGCCAACAAGGTAGACCAACATAGTATTCCCATGAAGATTCCTACTGGAGTTTCTTTAAATGAAACACTTTTATCATTCACATAGTTACGTATCATAAACATCAATGACACCAAAATTAACAGCATTTGAGACAAAGTTTGTGCTTGAGAATATTTGGAAAAAATACCATGATTATGTAGAAAGATTCAAAATATATAAGGTTAAGTGAGTTTCCAAAGTATATATTTCCCTTCATTATACGTTGCAGCTACAAAAGAAAATCCTCAAGAGAATTAATATGAACTTATGATAATGCAGCCTGCAGCACGGTTTTGTTTTGGTTTCGGCTGTATTTGCTGACAAGGCAGTTCAAACTATACTCTACTAATCTTTAGTAAAGGAATCAGATTATTCACCTATAAACATGCAGCAATAAAGTGTCATTCTTTAGTCAATACCGACTACTTAACGTGTTTCTCTCTTTACAGGTTTGCATCCCCAGCTCATTAGATCATTACCTGATAAATAGGAGAGGGTAATGAATGGAGAAAATAACTACGTACCTTCAGAGAAAACCTGCCCGATAACAATAATCCATTAGAAAACTGGCAATATCCTCTGATCTATTGCCTGCAAAGCTATGACTTGATGGAGAGTTTCATTCCCTGGGCTCAGTTCTCCAGAAGAAAATCAGCACAATTTAAATATTTCTTGGAATGTGACAGCTCTCTAGATCCCAGGTTGCGTTCTGTTCCCCAGGGATGGCAATCTGGTGTTCCTGTGTGCATAGAGCAGTGAAGATGAATTGAAAATGCTTGAGATAAATTAGGAATGGCTAAGTTAAAATTGTCTCTGCTCCAGACTCTCTCATCTGCAGTCTGTAAGCTTGTTTTCCTGTGAAAAAGCTAGATGGCAGGCTGCCTCAGTAAGTTCTTCTTAAGCGACACAGAGCATTTTCAATGAAGAAAAATTCTCCCATTATCTAAGCTAATGTGACTGCTGCTAAATCTAGTTTTTAAAGTGTCTACTGACATGAAATTCATTTTCACCATTGCTTTTTTTCAAACTACAGTGTGGAATCCATACTATCATGCTGTATATATATATTTCTTTCTAAGAGAAACATTTAAAGTTTTCAGCTAACATATTAAATCATATCCATTTTTGCAGTTTTAATGACTATTTATGAATAGGAAATTTCCTTTTTAGGTCCTAAAGCCATTTCATTGCATTTTATAATATGCAGAAGGTTTTGTTTTAAATTGCGGTACCTCAATATGAATAATTGTATTTTTTATTAACACATGTTAATGCAGTTCCACATAGAAATGCATCATTTTTAAACATCAGTTAAAATTCAGAAGTTATATAAAAATAGAAAAGGGAGATGTAGAATCCCAATATGTGACCCCAGAAGTAAATATTGACTCTCTGAATATCCTCTTCAAGAAAATAACATGTTCCAAATACAACCAGGCTTTATAAATTATTCCCCTTCTAAATAAAAACAAGACACTTTTAAATTCTGTTTATTTCAGTTGAATGATATGTTAGGATATGATAATTTTTCCCCTAAATTAGAAAATTCTTTTAGAATTTTAATAATATTCTGGAGTTGAGACTTAGTACACTCCACATGGTATACTGGCAACACACAAAATACAGATGGGTTATCAAAATTTTCAGTTCCATTTCTTTACTTGGATTTTCTATATGAAACAATTTTTACATTATTAGAAAGGACATTTAAAAGCATCATAGTACATGAGCATATGTATAGTTTTTAAAAAATGCTGGCTAGAAAAAAATCCCAATCTGATCCTTCGATAACTTTCCACATGGCATTCTGTAATGCTCTATGCCTGAGTATTTGATGTGTAAACAAATTGTTGCTTCCACGACAAAGACGGGTTGTACACATCTTGAGGGGAGCAAAGACAATACAATCACCTAGGAGCCAACAGAAAAAGTAAATCAAAATTTCCATTTTTCCTCTATCCACCCTGTGGCTATAGTTGATCACTTGACTCGGGGAGGTGGAGGAGAGAAGAAACAGGAGAGGCAAGAGGGAGCGCCATGGCACATGCTTCCAGCCTCTCTCTGTCTCTGAAAGTGGCAATGCTATAGCTATTGTGGGGCAAAAGACACAAATGAGTTGGAGAGAGGCAGCTTTAGCAGCCCAGCTGGGAACTGTAGTTATCAAGTAGATTTTCAAAGACCATGAAAGAAAAAGGAAGGAAGGAAGGGAGACTATTTATCACTTTTAACTGCCATTTTTAAAATGACCATGGTATTTAGTGTGAAAGATATATAAAGCAAATGAAAAAAGATGAAAGTTAATATATCTAATAACTGGCAGTTGATTGAATATCCAACTGCATTGCACAAATGTGCATTGAGAATCCCAGTTAATGTAATAGATAATTACAGCAGTGAACAAGGCACATACTTTAAGAATTTCAGATGTCTATCTTCACTTAGAAACTGCTATTTTTACTAACACTATACTAAAGTGATAAATTCAGGACCATATGCAATTATTTGTGAGTGTTACCTAAACTATTCTTGGAGTATTAGGAATTGTTTCTTGTTAGGAAGCAACATTTAAGAAAAGGCCAAGTAAGCTTTGGTTAAAAGGATAAGGAATATTTCCAGGCACTGG